TACCGTTAGTGAAGAAGGTGACAGAGAGGTTCTTAAAAATGAAAGCATTTCGAATGTACATTTAGTGGAAATTCTCGACACAGCAATTACAAGACTTGAACACTAGAACTTTGAAGAAGAATTAATGTTTATCTGTAGAATTAAAGGGAAAGTATTAGCACAAAAAAAAAAAAAAAAAAAAAAAATGAAGCAACTTAAACATGACATGTTTTATAAAGCTAACAAAAAAACATTCAGCTTTTTTTTTTTTTGTAAACTTTGATTCAATTAAAGTGATAAATGCTTCATTATTTTATATTTTTAATTTTATAATTTCTACGTCTTACTAGATTTAAACTGAATATCTACTATCTGGGAAAATCTCAAATTCAGAATTGTTAAAGTTCCGAAGAGTCTGGATCTCCGACTTTATTACTAATTTTACCATTTCATTAAAAAAATAAATAAACTAAAGTAAATCATTATCAAGTTCCTTTTTGAACATTTTAGGACATCCAACGGCAAAATGATATTTTTTATTTGTACTTCTAGTAAAATTTTCCATTAAGTAGAACAATCATGCTGTATATGATGACTCCTTCCTTTTTTGCATTCCTATTCTAATGACATGTTGTATGACTGCTTTCTTTTTTGTGGATTTTTGTCTTTTTATTGCACGCACTTTGCACTGGTTACATCAGCGGCAACTTATTTTTGCAGTGGAGTTGTTTTTTTATTTGTTTCAGCAACTTGAACAATTTCATTTGCTCTTTGAGCTACCAATACGTGTTCTTGAAGAAAACATTCTTTCTGTCTTTCATCCTGATCTCCAACAAGATACAATCGTTTATCAATTTATCGTTTTGGTTTTTTAATTCACTTGCAGAAATTTCAGCTGCATCACATAATTATCTATAGTCTGTCTTTCTTGCTGCTCCCACAAAAAGAAGTTGTAATGTTCAAAAACTGCAGTTTGTGTTGGTAAATAAAATGCTTGAAATTTTTAAAGTACATCAGTATATTTTTGAGTATTTTTTGGGCATTCAGAATTGAGTGTATTAAAATATTAAGACCTTTGTTGCTTAGTGGATTTTACAGGATAGCAATTTTAATTTTATCTGAACCAGAATTTTTATCAGTTGTTAAAAAAATTATCTAACTGTTTAACTAGCTTCCTAGATATATATCCATTGTCACAATCTGGTTTGCACATCCCTGCATCTTTCAAACGATCCTTTGTCTATTTCCATAATTAACCCTCTGAATGGCTGATTTTTCAGAAAACCACATTAAAAATAATCATGTGTACTCAATCAGTCTTTCAGAAAAATGGCAAGCGATTTTGACCCAAACTGCCTCAAGATTGGACAAGGTTTTATGTGGATACAATTAAGAAATTCTCTCCTACTGCTATGTGCCAAATGCAAAATGATAGTCAACAATCATTGTTAACAGAAACTATCTGGTTGTAACGAAAGTTACTGTTATTATTCATGTGAGAAGCTACTTTAGCATTTTCACTGCAAAATTTTAACTGTAATTCTGCATCAATCAGCATAGTTCTATCAGTATCTAGGATAATGTGGTTAAAGCATTCAGCTTTTCCATTGCTCTCTGGAGTGCAAGCTCTGGAGTTACATCAAGTTTAATTTCCTTTTTTTTTTCAAAAAATTTCTTTTATACTTTTAGCTAAGTATTAACTGTTATCATGGATATTCTTTTTAGAATTCCTGTTTTCTGTTCTTAAATTATAAGTTTTTTTTTAAAGAATCTGGTTACATGCCTTTTTTTTTTTTTTTTTTTTCATGCCTTAGTCGTAATCACAAACATAAAGATATTGTAGTCATCTACTTATCATTTTTGGAAAATGATAATTTCAGTGTATTGACTATTGGTTGGTCCATTTAAATCAGTGTGCTGTAATTCGGATGTCTTCAGCTTATTTTAATTTTAGATTTCAATAAGATTTTTTTGTCATTTGTCCTAATATGCAGGCTTCACAATTGTTTTTAGCATTTTTTCTAAAATAATCACAGAATGAGTTTTTCTTCATTTCTATTGAATTCTGACAGCTTAATTGACCTATCTCCGATGTCTTAGTACATCATTGACTTTTCTAATTTTAGCTTTTTTTGCTATGTTTCCTTCAAATTTAAACCACTTCTGGTAGTCATAATAAAATGTTACCACTTTTATTGATCACTTCAGCATTGGTTTTGGTAAATATTTTAAATTGCTATCTGCTATTTTTGGTACTGAGAGTACATACAGAATGGGCCCCACCACAAGCACAAGTAAAATGGAGGAGAACAAATTCTATAGATGAATGTAAAAATATATATATCAGTCAAGCAGCCTGAGTTAGAATTGACAGTACCAGTATGGTCCCTATCTTGCTTGATGTGGCCACCATATAAATGAAGATTCTAGTCCTTTGTGTAGGCATTACATTTATTTCCACCTAACTGGCAGCCTTGATGTACGAGGGCCATCCAGGAAGTAGATTACGTTTCCGTCTGTGTCCGCTAGGGGCGGGGCTAGCGCGGCCATCTTGGGGTCAGAGCGTTGCGCAGCTCAGTCTGCATCTAGCCGTGCTAGTGAGAGGTTCGTGCTGTGCTCCGTTCAGATACTGTGACGGTTTGAAATGTCTGCGTTAATTGAAAATCCCGCGAGCTGCGAGGTGCGCTCAGTAATAAGGTTTCTGACTGCAAAAAACTGTAAACCAATAGAAATCTATCGGCAGCTTCGTGAAGTGTATGGGGACAACATTATCACTCAAGGTGGAGTGCGTCAGTGGGTCATAAGATTTCAAAATGGCCGAACCAATGTTCACGACGAAGATCGAAGTGGGAGACCCAGCATAGTGACCGCCAAACTTCTCGAAAAAGTCGATGCTAAAGTCCGTGAAAATCGAAATTTCACAATAACGGAACTTTCTTTGAGTTTTCCACAAGTTTCGCGAAGTTTGTTGCACGAAATCATCAGCGAAAAGCTTGGTTACCACAAGTTTTGTGCAAGATGGATTCCAAAAATCTTGACAGAGGACCACAAAAATCAGCGAATGGCTGCAGCGTTGAACTTTTTGGACGCTTACCATAAGGATGGTGACTCTTTACTCGATCGCATCGTTACTGGTGACGAAACATGGGTGAAACATGTGAACTGTGATTCCTATTCCCAGCAATGAAGAAGTGGCTGGCTATGCAGCGTTTTGATGACGACGCACAGCTGCAAGAAGAGGTAACAAAGTGGTTGAAGGCGCAGGCGGCCAAATTTTTTTGACGAAGGAATTTCCAAGCTCGTACATCGCTACGATAAATGCCTTAATTTGTATGGTGACTATGTAGAAAAGTAGTATTTGAGTGTGGCTTTCATCTGTATAATAAAATTTGTTTCCTATACTTTGTTTATTTTTTTATTCCAAAATGTAATCTACTTTCTGGATAGCCCTCGTATTAATGGTGCAGTAACTAGTCACAATGGGATCCCAGGCCCATTAGACACACAGTCCTGAAGGACTCTCATTTAAATATTTTTATTTTTGAAAATGATGGCTTTTTACTTGTAATCATCTACGGGTTCATCCTGCTTCATTTTCAGTTGAACTAATTCAAATCGACATTTGACTTGTATAGCTTCTGCTGCTATTTCATTTTCTTCCATAGTTTTTTCGCTTTCCTTTCAGTGGCACATTATAATATTTATGGAGCTGTCATAGTTTCTAGGTATTGCAAGGAACGGTATGCCAGATCTCCCAATTTTTTATTTCACTTTGATAATTAGCATCTGTTTTATATGGTTTCAGAGGTTCATCTGCTTATATGATACTTCTGTCTCCTTTTTGTTTTACTTCATTGACTTTCAATTCTGTTCCACCATGTAAGGTAATTTTTCTATACAAGTCAAATTTATTGTATTAGATGACATAGTTATCTTTATTTATTTTTAATATTCACAAACTGTTATATAAATAAGATTTGCCTTTCAAAGGAATCAGCAATGTCCTCTATTCTAGATGATGCAGATCTATCTCTCAAAAATTCATTAGAGAAGACTGCTACAATCTTGTTACCAAATGTTGACTGTTTCTAAAATTTTATATTTCTGAGTAACTTCTTTTTCTAAAAGAAACATTAATAAATATTGCATAAAAACTATTTGATTCGTAAGCATTTTTCATAGCTAGAGTATCTTTTAAAACCAAAACATTCTCCATTGCTGGCAGATACATGAAACTTGGTCTTTTACTAACAAAGAAAATTAATGTTTGCAAACACTGAAAACTAACATTAGTGTTTTATATTTTATAAAAAGTACCAACACTAACTAGGATGGTATAGTAACATTGTTTAGCAGATACATGGACTCATCTACCACTTCACATCTGAGGGCATTGAAGCATAAGCATTGCAGTGTGAAAAAAAGGAATGCTTCCTTGATACATTTCAGGTTTCAGGTACTTTTGTCTTGAACTTAGATTTAAATTCAACTTCGATTCAATGTCATTTTCAGCTTTGTGGGAATAAGAAATGCACATTTCTATTATTATTCAAATGATATATTTCTACATATGTCACAGATTATTGTAGCTTCTTCAAGGAAAAATTGTTTGTAGCTTCCTTGAAGTGTATAGAATTTGTCTCTAAAACTAGCATGAATTGAAAGCTGAATTTTGCAGAATTTTAAATGGGATACTGGCTTTGCATAATTGATGTAATGGATATGCAGAAGAAATTTTATGTTTATGAAGGATCAAAAGTAGTATGGTCTTCTTGTGACTGTATTAAGTTACTGATGTTTAGTGTTTATTTAACTTTATTCTTAGTTAAATTGTTCTTTACAATTAAGGAATGAAATTATTAAAGATTGTAAGATTTGATTATGTGTTTATAGATTTTTTTATTATAATGTTATATATAGTTCGTTTTCCACAGTTTTACTATTTTTTGGGTAAAATATTTAGTTTTATGTTATTATAATGTAAAGTCTTTCTACATCTTTATAATAATATTTTGTTTTAGTATTACAAATACTAAAGATGCTAGTCTTATACTTATGGCTTTGAGATATGCTTTGCAAACCACCAAAGTTCAGGTGAAGTCTGTGGATATAATTCAAGGCGAAGATGAAGGTCTTTTTTCATGGATCACTACTAATTTTCTTTCCCAGACATTGAATCAATCAAAGGTGAGGTTTAGTTCCTGAGTTACATTTGTGTAAAGAAAAATAAATGAAAATTTAATGCTGTAACTTTTGCATTAAATGTATCTTTTAAATTTTACTATGAAACATATGTATTATTATTGTGAGATGTAGAGAAAAAGATCTGTACAAAACTAATATTTCAGTTTTATGTAAATGCAGATTCTTAAGGTAACCTAAAATTCTCTTAAGTTAAAAAGTTTTACTGAATTTTTCACATTAGTCATTTTGTTGGAGTTTATTTTTGCATGATGTATGTCAGTTGACTATATGCTAAGCACTATATTTTAGGTCGAACAAACATTTGGTGCTCTAGATTTAGGTGGTTCTTCAACTCAATATGCATTTGCTGCTGATCTGGAAACAGTCACAAATGCATCAAGTGTTAAAAATCTAACTCTATATGGGTACAAGTACTCTGTGATCTCTAAAAGTTTTCTGTGTTTTGGTCTTAATCAAGCACTGCATCGTAACCATGCATTAATATTCACGGTAAGTGGTTTTTCTCATTCCATCTGCTTTATTTGCCATGGAATAAGTACTACTAAATCAATACATATCCAAGATTTACCATAAACTATTAATTTTAGATAACATGCTTAAGATACTGCTTTTTCATATTGATTTTTATCAACATATAGCATTATGAATGTTCAGTGATAAAGAGTGAAATCTGCAAGACTAGCTAGAGCTTAGTTACTATGGTAACAGTGGTTTACTTCGTCAATAGTTAATTTAGCATGAAAGTGAATAAGCCATAAAGCACTGAACCCAACCCCTCAGTTGAACAAAAGATCTGCTGATATTTCTTCCTTTTCAGCATCTGTGACTCAAGGACTGCAGGGTATAAAATAGGAACTAGAACAGAATAGAACTTTTCCAGTTTCATGTTGAGTGAAAGATATCTGTGACATGTGTAGACCAGTAGCAATTTCATTTTGCAAAATTTGTTCATTATGCTGGATCACCTTAATTTTACGTAAATTTTTTATCATTATTCTATGAAAGAAAAGGCTTTTTTAAAATACCATATTTTAAACTATTTCAGTAATTTTTGTCACAACATAAAAATGATATAAATTGTAGAGACATTAGGATTTTTTGGAGGACGGAGAGATGAAAATTTAGCAAAACCTTTGGCGGGAATCGAACCGCGGACCTCTCAATTATGTGCTGAGCGTGCAGACCACCACACCACGAAGGCTCGCGAAGAAGGCTGGAGAAATACCATATATACCCCCCTTTAAAGGGCAACTGGAGTTTTTAGAGAACCCAATTACCAAATCCTAGGTCAGGACAATCATCATCCAACACCCTTTTTAGTTCGGGCGCCATGTAGAGACATTAGGATTTTTTAGAGGCCGGAGAAATGAAAAATTAGCAACACCTTTGTCGGGAATTGAACCTTAGACCTCTCAATTACGTGCTGAGTGTGCAGACCACTATACCATGAAGGCTCGCGAAGGCAGGAGAAATACCTTATAAAATGATTTTATACTTTATGTTATATGTGTGTATGTACCTAAATATAAAACAAAGAACTTTATATATTTTGCATTATTTTATTGTATTTATTGTGCATCACATTATTTTATTGTATAACACTGTATTTTTTCAAAGTGGATAAATGATCATCAAATCTTGCTTGTGTGTGGAGAAATCATGTATTGTACCCATATGCATAAATGTAGGAAAAAATAGTATTCTTGATGGCATCTTTTGCAGCTACATCAAGATACTAACAAAATTAGAAATCAATTACTAACATGCATTTTAATATAGAAACCAGGGCATGTATTATTTACTTGCAACATAGTAAGAAAAATTTTCTGTACATTATCCACTTTTTGCTTTGAATGAAAACTGCATTTTGTCTAATTGTTAAAATGAATGACTAGTTTGAAGATTTCACTTGGCACTGGAATGTGTAAAATCAAGTTGCATTTCTGCTGCCCGTTAAACAGTGTCTGTGACTCCTACTTCTACCATGGGCCACCAGTGCCTGAGCGGTTGAGGTTACTGAATACTCGTGCAGTAGAGCTCCAATTATCTGAATCAATTGGGACCAGACCCCATTTGGATAATCAAAAACGTGGATAATTGGATTTTTTCCGAAGAAAGGATCTACATACTCTTTAATTACTATATGTACTGTATAAGGAAAATGTTAGAAAAACTATTTTTAAAGAAAAAGCAGTTCTAATTAATTAAAATGGAAAGGCAACACTTTTATATACATGTTTTATAGCATACTGTACAGTACTTACAAGTGCTTAGTTGCTGAACATATCGGTCAACGTAAGCCGCTTGACTCTCTTCATTCGTTTTCAGGCAACCAAGTCATGCATCCGCTTGACAATGAGAAATTGCATGTGGTAACACTTGGGCAGACACACCATCTACTTCAATGCAGTTTTAAGGCTGGTAGACATTTCACTAGCTGTTGGTTCCATGTCTGCTTCAACTTTTACATTAAGGTCATCGTCATCCTCGACACTGTTCTCTCACACTTTCAATAAGTTCATCATCATTTAGAATTTGAAACCCAGGGTCTGACGAATCACACACCATGCATTTTGCTTTATCCTCAGCACTAACTTATGAACATTCAGGAATTTTCAAAAGAATGTTTCTTAATTCCTCAAGTGATATGTCATCCTCCTCATCTCCTGTGTCTTCCCTTTTTTTTTTTCTTGAGCTTCTTTTTCCCCTTTCCTTTTTCTTCTTCAGTTGATATGCCTTTGAACTTGTTTCACGCACGTCTTAATATGACTTCCTTAACCAAGCTCCAAGCTTCTGCCACCATGTAAGCACAATCTTTCAAATGAATTTTTTGTAGTCAGCCAACACTCCTTCTTCGTCTTTGCTCTCTGCCAAAGGTTTCCGTCTGTAATGGTTTTTCATGGTTTCGATAACAAAATGATCCATTGGTTGCATTAAGCTTGTGATGTTTGGCGGTAAAAAGATTGTTGTAAACTGGCCATTCTCTCTTTCCAACAATTCTCCGGTGGGGTGAGTTGGTTATCAACAATCAAAAGCACTTTATTGCCTTCTTTTCCAAGAGATTTTTGGTAGTTTTTCATTTGATAGATGAAAATTTCATCATACTGCTCAGTAAACAATGCTGCAGTTATCCAAGCCTTAGATTGGTTTTTAAAAAAGAGAGGAAGCTTTTCCATATTTTTAAATGCTCTTAGACATTTTGACTTCCCTATCAACAGAAGTGTTATTTTATGGCTTTCTGAAGAATTCACACAGGTAAGCACCGTAACACGGTCTTTTCTAGGTGGTTTTAGGCAGAGCATTCCAAACAAGGCCAGTTTCATCAGCCTTGTACAAAATCCCAGGATCGTAGGAGTCTGCTATAATTTTAAATTTTTCAATAAAATCTTTGGCAGCTTTGTTGTCTGCTGATAACTTCTCACCACTTAAATCTAATTAACAGACACTGTGCTTGCACTTAAAATTTCTTAGTCAGCCATTACTTGCTTTAAAGGATGAACAACCAAGATTCTGAGCTAAGATTTTGGCCTTTTTCACAAAGAATCTGACCCAAAATTGGATTTCCCATAGAAAGTTGGTGCAAAAACCACTTGAAAATGACATCTTCTAAATTTTTGTTTGTTGCTGCCTTTATTGATTTTCTTGAAGAACTTCTTTCTTTATTTTCAAGGAGTGAGACAAAGTTTAGAAGTGTAGGTTTGCTCCTTTTAATATTTTGGCCTTTTTCACAAAGAATCTGACCCAAAATTGGATTTCCCATAGAAAGTTGGTGCAAAAACCACTTGAAAATGACATCTTCTAAATTTTTGTTTGTTGCTGCCTTTATTGATTTTCTTGAAGAACTTCTTTCTTTATTTTCAAGGAGTGAGACAAAGTTTAGAAGTGTAGGTTTGCTCCTTTTAATATCTGAAATCGTTGATTGTCCAACACAGTACATCTCAGCCAACTGTTTATGCATAACTCCTTTACCTGATTGCTCTATAATTTTTAGTTTATCTGCTAACGATAACACAACACGTTTTTTTTAGAAGACATGGTGAACGGCGAAACACACTCACAAACAAAACCATGCACCATCGCGAAAGAGTACTGCCCCAGTACTGTTGTAGATCAAAGACACACTGACTGACTAGCAATCAAAACGAACAGTAAGAGGTGGGCTGGTCACCTGGCAACGGAGGACAGTACCGTAGCCAATAATATAACTGCATCATGAGACAGTGACTCGTCATCCCTATAATGTTAGCGCGCTGCACATGCACTAGCTTTGCAGAGGGAAGGACACTAGCGTGCATAGACAGAATCATTATTTTGTGTACGTTTCCTTCTAAATTTTTTTTCTTAAATTCTGAAAGTCATTCGGATAGTTGGAGTTTGAATAATTGGAGTTGTACTCATTCAAACTGGTTTAGGTTTGATCTCAGGCAAATGGGGGTGGCTGTGTGATTGCTATGATTTCTAACATAAAAACAAGCCAGTTTCCCTCAGAATATCCCCCATGAAGACATCTGTCATCTTCGGCAGATAGTCCTTGTAACTTTGCTGTATTCTAATAACATAACCTAATTCTAGCTCTCAGTTCCTCCCTAAATTTTAGTGGCTGAGCACTAAAGACACTGAACATTGGGAAGTTAACCTAGGTTCGAGTTCCAGTGAGCAGGCTGGCTGCAGGAACACTTTATGTTTTTTCCCATGTGTAATATAGATGAGAGCCAATTTCAATTAGAATGTCCTCAGTGAAGGCTCCGTCCCCATAGGCAGAGAGCCCTCACCTGCTTTGGAACTCCTTAATCCCTTCTTCCCTAATCAAACTAAACTCCCTAATTCAGGAAATTTGCTGTCAGGTGTGGCTGTAGTGGCTAGCACAGTTTGAATGACAAATGATAGTTAGAGATCAACAAATAGATATGTGGTAGACATATTCAATTACCCTATTTTCAAATTTCTTCCACGGTGTATTGCGAGGTGTAGAAGTAAAGTCCAGTGGCACTCCAAACCATAACCTCAGGTAACAGGCTGGTATAGTGATACAATATCTTTATCCAATCATAAATGAAAATTTCAGTAAAGAACCAGTTGTATATCTCTCATTTCTGCTGAATGCTTACTTACTTTAACACTTTGCCTTGCTAGTGCTAACATGCTTCACTCATTTCTGTGTGTTATCCATTATCTAAAGGTTTACTGAGCTATATGAAATAGTGGGGTGCATATCACATCCATGATAACGTGAAGAATCTGTATGTATAGAAATTATTTGTCTTTTATTTGGCCATGTCTGTTAGTGTCATCTTTGTATCTACACAGAAAAGCATATATTGTTACTACCACACCATCTCCAATACATTTTAGCTATCATCCAATCATCAAGGTATTCTAGATTATATGATGTGTATAGTATATACATATGTAAAGTCTGGTCCATCAGCTGTTTTCAGATCAAACATTCACCCCTTCCCCCACAAAAAAATTTTTGATCTTGAAATCCCTGCTTTATATCATTGTTTTTCATATTGGAGAAGAAATAATCTTATATTTTTCCTGAATGTTTTATAATTTGGAGTTTTGCTGTATGGGGACCATATGAAAAATAATATTTTCTAATTTAGGAATTGATCCACCTCTTTTCGCCATAGTTGAAACAGTTCTTAGAAAACTGCCTTATTTTGAGAAATTACATTTCTAATTTGTTCTTCATGTCTGAGATCAATATTTAAGGAAATGAAGCTTGTAACCATCTTTTTTAAATATGCTGTGCATGTATGGAAGTGCTTCTTTAATTCCAAAATGTGCGATATTCATTAGCAATTTCTGTCCTGTGATTAACACTTAAATTCCTTAATGTTATGTTGTGAAGTACTGTAAGGTGTTTACTGTTGTTTCTGTAATCAGCTGACATAAGTAAGAAGATTTGAACTGTACCTCTTAGTTACCTTAAAATATCCTTCAACATTTCAGGTTAAAAGAATAAGTGGTAACATGAGAATATATTAGTCATGCAATAAATCTGGTTAAAAATTTGCCAGTTGAACTTAAAATTAAACATTCTATATTATCAAATTTAGATTTTTCAGAGCTAACAGGGTGCTGGTGTTTCTTTGATGAATGAATGATTCCTGCCAAAAGGAAATTTTCTATTTAAATTCTCAAATGCTATCAATGTTATGAGCAAAAATATTTTATTAGCTAATATGTATACATTCATATTTTAGGCAGAAAAAAATACTACAGTTAGTGACCCATGTTCTCCAAAGAATTACACGGAAACAGTTGGAGCAAAGTTTTACTTAGAAAATCCATGCGTGCAAAATAAAAAATTTTCAAAATGGCTGCAGTTTAATTTAGTAAGTAAATTAATTTTAAAAATGCATGTGCATAAGAATTTAAATATTTTTTAGAATGAGCTTTATTTTGTGAAGAATGTTTTAATGTTATGTTCCACTAAAAAGTAACAGTGCAAAATGTATATAATGTAATAAAAGATGGAAAATACAGGTTATAACTATATTTTGAAAATATTTTATTTAGTTTATCATCCACAGTCATGTTTGGCATAACAAAAAATGTTCTGTAATCATCAATTTCTGTATTATCTTTTATATTGTTGCTTAGATCAATGTGTCTTCATTTCAGCCTGATTCAAATAAATAACTATATTTCTTCTGTTGTAAGGAACATTTATGACATTTTCTTTGCTTTACCATCATAATGAGCTAGCACTGAACATGTGTGCAGCAGAGCATTTTTCTCACATAAATTATTATTATGTGGAACAAAAAGAAAGTATGTGTTCTTTTGAAGACTTTTTTTCATCTATGGAATTTTCATGCACGATTTCACATACTTCCTTTGTATTTTGATTTGAAGCTATTCACCCTTCATTACAATTTGAACTGTTTGTATGTACTAACTCATGATGTGATTTAAACCCACATTTTAAACAGTCTTTTATTCACGCATGATTTCCAAAAGTGATATTTTTTAAAACAAACTATCTTTTTTCATTAGGTAATTTATACATTTTTCTTTAATACTTTTATCACAAAAAAATTAATTTTGGGACTTTTGGCAGAAGATGCATGTGTGATTATCAACAGTGTAAACTGCAGCTGTAAGTTCATTTGTATGTAATTTTTTATAATCAGCATGTTCAAAAGATGGAGGCAGGGTATTTTTCTCTTTTTTTCTTGTGTCAGTAAACGTGATAGTTCATGACATTCAGTTTCACATTTAATGAAGTCCAACAAATACATTAATTTCTTCTTTTGGTTTTTTCCTTTGATTAAATTCCAGAACAAACACTTCGGAATAGATTTTAACAATAGAAGTGTTAATGGCTGACCAAATGAACCTTTCATAAGACCTTGCACCTTTCAATTCCAAACTGCAACTTCAATCTCATCATATAACCTACGTAAAGCTTTAGTGTTATTTGAACTCTTAACTGGTTCTAAATTTAACTGCTTGTTCATGAATTGACTAATTATTATTTCTTTTTTCCCCAAATCTTTCCGTCAGAATTTTTATACTCTCATCATAATTCTTTTTGTTTAATTCCAATGAACATACTACATTACTCATGGTATGAGAAGGTTGTCAGATATGTGAATTTTTCTATCTTACTAAGACTTTCATTTTTGTCTATAGTGCTTTTGTAACTGCTCCAAAACTCCATGAATTTTTTAGGATTACTAGAATATTTTTCTGACACTAGTTTTGGAAATTTTACAGTGCTGTGTACATTTTGCTGTTTAACCATGTTTTGCTCAGAACCTTGTTTTATCTTCTTTTAACACTCAATTCATTTAATAACTCAAGAATATTTTCCTACTATACCTCAGAATTAATTAAATCCACTTCTAAAAAATATCTCAATTACGGAATGAATTGCATCGTCTAATTCCTTTAAACTACTTTGCTTTCTAATCACAGGGCATGCAGTTGGCATAATTCATCTTTATTTTTCTTTGCTGAACTGTCCTTTATCTTTTTTTTAACAGGTTCGAAACTATTGTTCTCTGTGTGGATCTCTTCCATTTTAATATATCTAATTCTGCTATTATTTCGCAGTAATACGTAAATGTACTTATATTTCAAATTGTCAAAATTCAAATCTGATACATTAAAAATTTAATATTAATCATGTTCTAACCATATTCTTAGGGCATAGTCTGTACACATCCATTCGCATGAAACAATTTTACTTTTTTTTCAAATGAGAACAGTTCCCTTGAGATGCTCCATATCAAGACAGCATTGAAACAAGGTGGAACATTGAGTAAAATACAGCATCAAATGGTTTTTTATCTCTAACATTTGTTATATCATTTTATGTACATATTTACATTTATCCTATTATTAGGTGGCCAACCTTCATGGAAATTACATTGCATAATGAACTGATATGCAGTTCGTTCTCATTTCTACATTACATAACGGTCGCCTGCCAGTACATTCTCTGAATGAAAACTATTCTTGTTTACATTCATTCCACTGCAAAGCAGTACCATCCGTTTTCTCTATTTTCAACACATATAAAAGTTAAATGTAGGCTAAATTTTAGCACAGATTGTAACGGATATTAAGATAATTTCTAAAAATGAAGCAAAATTTACTAAGAAAAAGTAAATTTTTTTGTTTAGAAATTTTTAAACATTTGAAAATTTTGCAATAAATGGTATAAATAAGAAGGCTGATGGCAAACTATTTAAACATCAGAATGTAATAAAAATTGTAAAGTATGCATACTCTTTTACACAAAGTGTAGGCCCAACAACTGAATTGAAGTCTACTCTGTTTGTAATAGCTTTTATTATTTTTGCAAGTAACTGGGGTATAATAAACTAATCAGAAAAATGCAAAGGTATGAAAATTTCTAGCAGTGTAAAATTTTCACTCCATGAAAAAGTGAATGGAGAATAGTTAAAGAAACAGGACTAAAAGAATTAAACAAAAAGCAAGTTCTCAATCCTGAAAGACGAAATATGTTTCATTATATTTAAATCTGTAAAAAGTAATGCATAAATTCAATGAAATCTATGCATGACTTTCTTCATAATCTTTTCATTGCGTTTTGATTTCCTTAAAAAAAGCTTGCTGTATTTTTCTTTTTTCCTATATATGATACCAGTGAAATGAAACAACATGAAATTTTAGATAAATGCCAAAGGGAAAGTAATGACAAATACCCCTAAATAAAAACATGTTTTAGTGTAAACAATGCTTAATTTACATAAAACAGACTTGATGTCATGGAATCACTATTAGCCACATTTTTTGGAGAAGAGAGAATAAACTCTGGCCATTCTGTCAACTTAACAATGTGTTCAGCCTCGAATTAGGAAGATAGCTTTACACCAGCAAGAAAATGAATTGATGAGATGTGTCAATGCAATCAGTCTTCAAGAAAGCACATTCCAACTGAAGGTGCATCAGTGAAAGTTGTAGTCTCTCAGCAATGTATTTGCCTTACACATTTCAAGCATGTTCTATGAGATTCAGAAGCATTCAAACCATGCCATGTGACTTAATATTTCCTCTTAAGCATATGCTTCAGAAGGTGAGCTTAATGAGGTCAGGTATTATTATCACCTATCAAAAATGCTGAATCACTGAGGTTAGCAATGTAAAGCATGTCTATTCAGAAACATCCACTTAGAATGTTGAGCAAAGTCTGTATACCCACCTAGGATTATCTGTACCAAAGTAAGCTCTTCATCTGTGGCAAAATGCAATCTTTCTTGGGAAATGCTGAATCATATTTCTTATCAAATTCCCTCCAGATCTGAAATCATTAATTATTCAGCTTTAGGCTGAATATGGACTGCTTGGAGAAAAGACCCTATCTCCTTTTGGAAGGTCCCCAATCACAATATTCTTTAGCCCATTTTCGTTGAACTCTGTCATGTTGAGGAATAACTAAAACACAAATAACTGGTCTATCGACGCACACATTCATTGTGTGCAGATATTTGCTATACTTTTCTTTTGGCTGCTATATACAGTTGTCTGTGCGGTTAGGTGACATTTTGGCAGCTGGCTAAGGACAGGTTTTGGCAAATAACAGTCCTTACTTTGATCAGGATGTCTTAACACTTCAGTTCTCTTAAAAATGTCTCCACAAATGTGCAGCCTACCAATGGCTGAGCATTAAACTCGAACTTCAACCATCTTTCCATCTTTCTTTGGCTCGCTGTGTTTTTCGAAAATCATGCTGCATTCTAACTTGAGACAGACGCAACAAGTTGCTTCTCCCATGGCAAGTGGTACAAAAATGTAGTTAAGACGTAATTGCCTGTTTATATGATTTTCACATCAGTAAGAATGAACATAAGTTTTGGTGTCACAGTTGCTAATTTGTGTTTCAAACTACCTTCTACAACTACTTTTTCCATTATTCAGAGGCATCGTTTTGTGGTGTAACAATACTTTATCCAAGAGATTGAATAAAGTAATTTAACATGGATGCTCTGCTGATTTTGTTAGCTAGTGTATCTGTGCTTGTTTTATTAAATAATAACAGATTAATTCAATATTAGACTAAATTGTAATAAACTTTCTGTGAAGTAACTGTGCATCGCTTTTTAACCTCAAAACCAATTTATTAAAATGTACGTGGAAATTTATCTGTTCCATATCACTTAAGTATAAATTTTCAATTTTTGTTAAACCATGAAATGTAAAAATTACTGTCAAAGAATGATTATCCATAAAATGAAACTACCCTTTTGCTTAAATCACACTGAATTAAGTGATGATCTGAATATTTTTTTTTATGTAAATTCTTTTTTAAGAATGCATTTTGCAGTGTTACTGCCAAAAACTTTTTATCACAACTAGCCACTGTAACTGCTTTTTCAATAATAGTTCCTTCCATACTAAGACAGCACTGGTTACAAGATGCAACTTTTAATTTCAGAACCACCGCTAAAAAAGTAGAGTTTCAGAAAAGCAAAATAAACAGCTGAAGTACATTTAATGATATAATTATTATCATCAAATGCAATTACGTAGGAACATCAGTAATACTTATATGAGCAGGCATGTGCATACAACTTCTGTCGTTAGAGACTGCCTCTTTTGAGTTCTATTCTTCATTTTTCCATAAGATATTCTTTCGAGCAACAAAAGCACTTATGAAACAACATTTTCAATGAACAGAAGGCATCCCAGTTATACGGTTATATGTACCGTTATATGTACACCAGCTATATGTACCGTTACCATCAGTCAACTCAGTCCGCAGACTTGGACTAAAATATCTGTCAGATTAACTCAGACCATGTCCACACAGAATGTTTGTGATAATGGAAAAATTCATTAACACATCATCAACAACAGGATGTCTGTAACTAAAGAACCCTATTTCAAGACTGCCTACAAGCAAAACCAATGATCAGAAATTTTGAGGTGGACTTAATGAAGAGATAAAAATTTCTTTCAAAAAAGGGAAAAAATTAGTTACAAATAGCAAAACCAGAGAGCATTTTACTTTAAAAATTTACTAATATAGTAATAGTAAAAATGCAAATCATTGCCAACATCATGCAGCAGCTGTTATAAAACCTAGAAACATTCTCAGACACCTTGATTTCAATGTGCATGTTGTTCACGATAGTGGTAAGTTTACAAGATCGCACTTTTTAGTAAAATTGTTTTACCAAAGCAGTAATTTCGCAGTAGTTGCTCTACAGAAATTTTGGATAGGGATTCTAAAATGTCCAGAGGTCCAATGAATGTTAAAAACGTTCAGAAAAGAACAAAATTTGAAGAAACAGAATCGTTTTCTGTTTATCTTGGAAGAGAAAGAAAGCTGTTTCTGTAGAAACAGTGCAGGAGGTTGCACTTCAGGTCGTAGAGGATACAGCTTCAAACTTTCTAGACTCGCCAGTGTCCAGTGTATAGCAGAGGTGCTGGATAGACCACGTTCAACCGGCCATAAGATCTTGTGGAATATCCTCCAATGTTACCTGTACAAACTTTTACTAGGGCAGCGGTTGGTTCCACATGATTTTGACGTGTGACTCTGGCTCTCACTTCAGTTTCTTGCTTGCTGTGAGGTCGATTCAGAATAGCTCTGGAGTATTCTCTGGTCAGATGAAGCACATTTTCATTTGAATGGGGCAGTGAATATTCACAACTGCTGAATTTGGGAATCAGAAAATTTGTCCCGTCTTAGAGGTTCCATTGCATTCACCAAAAATAGCAGTATGGTGTGCATTTTCTGCGTGAGTTTTTCTCGGTTCGTACTTCTTGGAGGAGTTAAGTTCCACAGGTCCAGTGACATGCTTGATTGCTGGGCAGCGATATCTATATTGCTGCTAGCAGTCGAAATTGTTCCATCTCTGCAAGCACATCAGGGCCTTACACATACAATCTTTATGCAAGCTTGACCTCTTCCGCACATTGCACATTGTGTTATGAATGTTCTTAAATGTCATTTTACAGAAGAATGTGTCATTAGTTGGCACTTTCATAATCTGTTGCCTCCCCGATCCCCCAGACCTCAGTCCATGGGACTATTGGTTTTAGAGACATTTAAAAGATCTGGTAACTCGTGGCATGCATGTTTAAATTAAAGCACATTTTTCACCTTTTTGATTCTTTATTTTCTTTCATTTTTCATAAGTGTATCTTAATACTGTACTGCATATATACAAGCAGTTGTTTGTTGTTGCCAAATTAGCTGTCTCCCTAATTTTAATCAGCAGTGATATACCACAGGTGGCGGTTAATGTGATTGTGATAAATGTTATCATTTGGGTATTGCTATCAAATTAGCCCATTTGTATATGAAAACAAATTTTGTTAATCTGCCCATTTGTATATGAAAACAAGTTTTGTTAATCTGCCTATTTGTATATGAAAACATGGAAAATACATCTCTTATTGTAATCAAATTAGTTAATGTAATCAAATATTGTTAAATATCAACTAGTTTGTTAATGTGATTAAATATTGTTATATTCTTTAACTAAAGTTGAATAAAAGATAACGTAAGGAAATAAGCTCAAAATAGAGTGCAAAATGTGCCAAATAACGAAGGAAAACTGCCAAGAGGCTCCTAAATTGCTAAAATTTGGTTAAATCAAGCATGTGTGAAGGAATTGGTTTACCAAATTTTGTGCCAGTAATTACTGTAGCCATAATTCAACCATGGGTTGGAGGGATTATTAGATAAACTTTATATAATACACAGCCCGGAATCTGGATGTCCAATATCTGGACCTTTAGACCACTAGATCCTCCCCCTCCCAAATAAATAATTATATTTCCTCATGCATCCCCCCTTTTTTTTACAAATTTTGTTGTTCAAAAATCGAGAGGGGGAAATTATATGGAATAATTTAATTTCTGAAGGACACATTTACAGTAAGAACATAACAAATGGGAAGTATTCATGGATAAACTGCAAGTAACTAACACAAAACTATTTCTTGAAAAGAAATCTGCACTTCAACAAGAATTTATGGTAATAACATTAGAATATCTATTAAGACGTCTTCATTTTTACTACTCTTAACGTGAATTTCGCACTTATTGTTGTCTCTGTTGCTCTTTATGTTTGAAATCATATAGAAATAATTAGAGAAGGTGAATGTGGTGCTAATTGAGTGAAATCATTGACTACATGTCAATAGGTGTTTGCTTCTGCCTGACTAGTGGGTTCTTGTATTAGGCTGGCATAAAGTTCAACGGTTAGAAGGGAGCTATTCGGTGTGTATTCCCATTTTTAAAATTTAGGAGAGCTTGCTTTCTGAATACATTGAGAAAAATGAAAATACCACAAATATATATTTTTTTAAATTTTAAGAACCTGGTGCTAAAAAGCTAGGAAGAAAGATATGTGATGAGAAAAAGAATAAAAAAAAATTCTCCATCTAAAAAGTCTAAGAACAGAATATATGATAGCAAAAGAAAGCAAGTATGCCATAAATGTTATTTTCTGCAACCAAATGGAGACTTCTGCATGTCACTTTTAAATACCTGTTGGCTAGGGTATTACACTGTAGTCAATAATGATGCATTAATTAATGCTGGCCATTGGCCTTTGAGTGGTTGCATGGGGTATGCCAGCGCTGCATGTTTTGTCATTTGATGCATTCTCTGTGGGCCCTAAATTCTGCTTTATTGCCTCTCTAAATTCTAAAAATTCTGCAGTTCCTAATTTTGCATTTGGGTGCTTCTCTAAATTTAAAAACTTTTTCCTCCTGTAATTTCTGACTCTGATGCAGCCACACCGGTTGTACCTGCTATGGTGCCAACCTGTGCAGGCTTATTAGTAAGGAATATCAGCCTTTGCGATGCACTACGTTTGCTGCCTTTGAACTGATGTCTCAGAGAAAACAACAGGGAACTGTGTTAAGCATATCAACTTTTTAACACATGATGAAGTACAAGATGCTAAAAAAATAATGTTTCCAACTTAGTGAATTGTGAGGGATATAATATTTGTTTGGATATTGAGGGAAAAATTCATATTGCAGCATTAATGACAGAAGAATGTATCTGAGACTCACTTTCTGAAGTAAACTGAAGTTGCAATAAACTTTCTGAATATGATTTGTTACATTTTGTGTCTCAGTATTAAGGAAAGAGTATTTAAAGTGGTGGGATAAATAACTATACAAAACTAAGCAAGTTCTGTGCATAAAATTTTTAGATCTATGAAGAGAAAACATTTTCTATTGCAAAGTTCAACAGTAAACCATATTGGATTTTTAACATTATGTTCACATTATGTTCACATTATGTATGAGCTGAATGAACGAAATTTTCTTTTTAGATGCACAACTTATATTGAATTGTGGCAGTTATATGCCATTTCTAGGTCATGTATAATTTTTGTATGTATGGAAATAGGTTTAAATTTTTGATATACTTTTGTTTGCTAGAATTTTCATTTTGATAATTATATGCAAAATTCAATTTAGACCTCCAGAAATTATATGACATATATAAAACATTTGTGTTATCTCAGTGTGATATCTAGGAATATAATTTTTCTTTGTAATATTTTAAGCATATTAGTAATTTTTTATAGCTTCTGTAAAATTGAATGAGCAAATACTTAGAATTCTAATGCATCTGTGTGTTGCTTCAAAGTTCAGCTGGTTTAATAAAGAAGGGAATGTACTATTTTGTTCTGTGTTCTTATCATATATGTATGTGATACTGAAATATAATGTTGAGCTTTTCTAAAGAACTGTTTAATGTGATAATAATTTAGCAATCAAAGATAATAAGTGAAAAGAAAATAATTACTATATCTTGTGAAATTTCTTTAAATTTCAGTTCTAATGCTAATTTATCGTTGATGATATTTATAGCGATTTTTAGTGTATGTAATTTATGTTTGATTTTCAAAGCAATCATAAATTGTTAAAACATCTAATTCTCTTTTTCAGGATCAAAATTTGACTGTTTTAGGTGAAAGCAACTATGAGAAATGCAAGCATAATGTTAAGGGTTTAATTAATGAGCAGTCATGCAAAGATGATGGTTTTAGTCAGTGCCTTGAGATGATTAATTTAGCTGAAATGAACATGAAGTTTATGGTATATATGTGTGTTAACATTCTTACTGATGAATTATACTAATAGAAAAAATAATTCTGCATGCAATTTGAGACTGCTAGTTAACTTGTCAATTTAATTATAATTATTTTTTACAGGCATTTTCAAGTTTTTATTATGTTGTAAGTTATCTCAATGGTAGCAGTTCTTTAGAAAAATTTATTAATGCCACAAAAGACTGGTGCAGTCTATCCTTGGATCAGGTAACCTCATTTTTACATAAAATGTCTTGTTATGCATTTTGCTATAAATTTGTTGACTCCGAAATCTTTTGTGTCCTTTTCATTGTTAGTGTTTATTGCATTTGACATTGGAAGGTGTGATCGTCTTAAGTTTAGTAAGTTTTTTTTTTTTTTCGGTTATCAAATTAGTTTTATTTTTTCAGTTTCAAATATCAGTTCAACTTTGATATTTGAAATACTTTTAGTGAGACAGTCTTTTTTCCATGAATGACATCATGCTAGTTCTGGTCATTACATTGCTTTCTGATGTTTATTATGGCAGTGAGACCTCATTTCCCTCAATCTTGTTCAACTTCATATATATCAATTGGTTAGTAGTATTTATACATAATTGCAGCAAAAGTATTGTTAATATACTTATTGAAGAACTCATAATTTTAATAGACTTATTGGGAATAAAGATTAAACTATCACAGATCAGTACTAATGATATACTTGTTTAATAATTGGGTACAAAATTATAAATAGGATTTGTGTGATGCTAACTATAATATTGGTAAAAGAGAAAAAATCAGCAACTTAGTTACTCTATTAAAATATAAACAAAGCTTAAAATTTATATTTTGAAGAATCATTTCTGTGTACATAAAAGCTCTTTGAATTGATATTTTTAAGCCTGGAAATGTGGGTAGAGTAGTATTATTTGTAGCAATGCTTTCATTCATAGCTATGAAACAGAATTTAAACTGGACAGCCTTTGACTCTAACTGTGGTGTCAGATTTTCATTTGTGGCTCCAACTCTAGAAGTCAACATTTTTTCGACATAAGCTTACAGTTTCAAAATGCTTTTTTGTGCCTTCACATGAAACATCACAAACTTCAAGCGTGTATTGTTTAACAAACTCCCTGTATGCAATATATATTATGCAATGTATAACACATATTGTATATTAATACAGCAATAGTTAATATACAGTATTGCATATAGTAATATTGTAAATATATAATATTTTTCAAATTTGTGGTGGGCTGGATAGAACTTTCAGGTGGGCCATAGTTTGCCCATAGAGAAATGCATTTAGAGCAATTTCGCAGCTGTCAACATTCAAATTAAAATGAATGAAATTTTGGAGTTCAGTAAATACATTCTAGGAATTTTTTTTCATGTGAAGTGTCTCTTCTTTTCTTTAACCTTTTAACTGCTGCGGAAAATGTACAAGATTCACTCTCCTGTGCCACCATTTTTTACACAGGCATGCATAGATATGTGATGTATTGAGGGAGAAAAAGTGTAAGTTTTGCTGTCTAAAAACTGTTTACTTTCACAAACTAAAGAATAAAAGAAAAAATGAAAATACAAAGTTTAATGTTTAGAGCTCAAGTTTAATAAAGAAGATGTAAGTATAATAAAAATTATGTTTGTATAATAAAAAAGATCCCGAAAAGTAGAGTTTCGATCAATTTATTTTTAGAGCGGTAAAGTGTAATATCAGGTTTCAGTATTATGCCTTGTAAAATCAGTATACCTAAAAAAACATATTTCTTCTGAATTGGTTGGATGCAAGTTGGCAAGTTTTTCATATCAAGTCGTACCCAATGTCGAGCATCTTTCGGAGAATAGTCACAATCATCTTCATCTGATGTGCTATCATATTCTGAGGTGTCCAGTTCTGAAGATGGCAGAAATTAATCATCTATTTCACTGTCATCACTGTCAGACATATTCATAAAAAAACACTTACTATAAACAACAAATGAAAATGGAAGGTGCAGAATAAAAAAAAATGCGTGCTACTCAAACAGAAACACAAGGAATAACTGCACAGTTATTACTTTCGCCATTTCAGAACCATTCCCGTCTCCAGTTCCTCCCCCCCTCTTCTCTGAAATAGTAGCCTTCTTTGCATATTCTGTCAAGATCATTGTGATGTAGCGTTTCAAAGCTTTGCATATCATTCTACTGGTAGCAGTGCAAAGAAATGATAGTATTTTGGGAGGGGGTATATGTATATGCTCGGGGCAGTTAATGCATTGGCTGAGCAAAGCATATATATATATATGCCCGCAGCAGTTGAGTTTGCAGCAACCATGCAACGAACTTTTAAATTAAATATTAACTGTTTGTGTTTTCATGTATAGCAGTGCTGCAACTAAACTCTGTACTTTTCTCTCAAGTGAAGTGAACTGAACTGATTTGTTGTAGTTAGTTTTCCTCATGCGTGTTTTGTGTTTTTGCCATTATCGCTAGCGGGCATAAACGCGGCGTGATATGTTTTGTAGAATGTTCTTTTTTTCTTCGCTACTCAAATTGTAAATAAATGTGATTGATTTAATAAGTAATTTATTTGTGACCACACAGAACGCAACCTGCCGTAATTGGTGCCCTATGCACGAAAAATAAGTTACGTTAATTGGTCACATGCTTCGCTAGGGCTTGCTGTGATAAGCCTATCCCACTGTGGCGACTTCGTTTTCTGGATAATTACGTTTATTTTGTTTCTGCTCTCCGGAACTATTTCCATATACTAGCGATGCCTCCACCCGATCAACAAAGCCAAGTAGCGAAAGTTGCACTTGGCATTCCACCTTTCTCGCACAGTGTGACAATGCTTTCATTTTCAGCGGAATTACAAGTCATGAAACAAAATTTTCTGCTCTTATAGCGAATATAGATGCGGAAACTCTGTCGCACGTCTCGGATATCGTACTAAACCCTCAGGACTAGGACAAATATAAAAAACTGTCTGAGAGGCTCATCAGTGAATTTGAAGATTCTGAACACCAGAAAATTAAAAAAACTCCTCACTGAACTTCAGTTGAGGGATGAACAGCCTAGTCATCTCCTACGGAAAATGAAAGAGCTTTCTGGGAAACAGCTTAATGATGACTTTTTGCAAAATTTATGGATGCAACGGATGACAGCCCATATCCAAACAGTTTTGTCTGCTTTTTCTGAAACACTCGATCAGCTAGCAATTATAGCTGATAAAGTCGCTGAGGTTGTTCAACCTAACGCAATTTGTGCTACTTCTGGAACTGGAATGTCCTTGGATCGCAATGCCATCACAACTGAAACCCTAGCCAGGCAGATCGAAGAACTTACACGCCAAGTTTCTGAACTTTCCCATGCTCGGAAGACAACTAGGTTCCGGAGTCGCTCAACCTCTCGCTCCAGAAAAGGTAATACTTCCAGTAATGTGTGTTTCTATCATAACCGTTTTGGTGATACAAGGCACGCAAGTGTGCTAAACCTTGTGCGTACCAACAGCAAAAAAACCTGTAACTCCCGTCATAGCTGGGATGACGGAAGTATCCAAACAAGCCCAGTCGGTTATTTCTTCACGACAGGAAGACTGGCCAAAAATTTTTTTAATTGATTCTGGTAGTGAGATCTCAGTGTGTTACCTCCTTCTCCTAAAGATAAGAGAAACTGTTGTGAAACATTTGCCCTTTTTGCTGCCAACAATTCTAAAAATTCCTGCATATGGATTTGTGCGCAGACAGGTCGACTTGGGTCTCCGGAAGCCTTTCTCATGGACATTTGTGATTGCTGATGTAACTTCTATCATCGGTGCAGATTTTTTGAAACATTTTAATCTTCTTGTTGATTTGAAACGGCAGTGTCTTATAAATCCTGAAACTTCACTGTTTACTTATGGCAATGTTGCTCACAAAAGCCAACCTTCTATTCTCACTGTTTCTGTTAATTCAGATTATGACTCCTAGCTTTCTGAGTTTCCAGATATAACAAATCCTACTCTAATTAAGCAGACTGTTCCTCATAATACAGTGCATCATATCTTGACTCGTGGACCACCTGTGACTTCAAAACTGAGACGACTCCATCCCAAGCTGCACGAAGCAGTGAAATCTGAGTTCGAATTCCTCCTGGATCAAGAGATAATCCGTCCTTCCAAGAGTCCATGGAGTTCACCATTGCATGTCGTCCCTAAGCAGGATTCTACAGTTCGTCCGGTTGGAGATTACCGCAAGCTGAATTCTGTGACTGAATTTGTTAGTTACCCCATTCTGTACCTTCAAGACTTTGCTCATTCAATCTACGGTAAATCCATTTTCTCAAAAGTAGACATGTTTAAAGCATTTCACCAAATTCCTATATTGCAGATGCTGACATTCCTAAAACAGCAGTGACAACCCCATGGGGTCTCTACGAGTATACTCCTCTGTGTTTTGGCTTAGTGAATGCACCCCAAACCTTCATGCACCTTATGCACGAGGTACTAAGGGGTCTCCCATTTTGTTATGTTTATCTTGATGATATACTATGTTTTTCAAATGATGCAGTGGAGCATAAGAAGCACTTGCATGCTATATTTCAAAGACTGAGTACTTATGGTCTCAAGTTAAATGTTTCAAAATGTGTGTTTGGTGTTACTGAACTGGAGTTTCTTGGTCACCATATAAGCCTAGAAGGGGTTAAACCCTTGCAAAATAAAGTCCAAGCAGTCCTAGATTTTAAGTTGCCTGAAACTATTGGTAATTTGCGCAAGTTCCTAGGCCTAATTAATTTCTATCGTAGGTTTTTGCCTCATGCAGCAGACAACCAGGCTTTGTTAAGTGACATTTTAAAGGGGTCTTCTGGCAAGAAGAATTCATAAAAACCAATTATTTGGACTTCAATTGCAACCGAGGCTTTTGAAAAATGCAAACAAGCACTAGCTAATGCCACGTTACTTGCTCATTCTTCTCCAACTGCCCCACTTGCTTTGCATGTAGATGCATCTGATCATGCTATTGGTGGTGAATTGCATCAGGTTGTGGACTCCAAATTGCAGCCCTTAGGTTTTTTCTTGAGGAAGCTCAGTACAGCAGAAACTCGGTACAGTGCTTATGACCGGGAGCTCCTTGCTGCTTATGCATCCATTCGCCATTTCAGACATATGTTGGAGGCTAGAGAGTTTGTCCTCTTTACTGATCATAAGCCTCTCAGATATGCTTTCTGTCAAAAGAATGACAAATGCTCTCTACGCCAGGGGAAGTATTTAGATTTCCAAGTCGC